AACATTGTCACAGGAGAAAATTTCACAGAGCAAAACAAACCCCAAATATTTTATAGTCTTTTTTTAAACTAGAACTTTAAAAAAATATTTAAATTTAAAGTTTTCTTTATATAATTAAAAGTAGATCATCTAACAGACTCCTAAGTCCGTATGTGGTCTCTCTTCTTGTCACATACTATGAAAATGCAAAAGGAAAACTTACTTTTCCATCTTGTATTGTTATAAAATCAACAAATTGCCTTGACAATGGCATATATCCAAATCCTTTTTACCTCTACGCTTTTCAATTCAGTGAAATTCAGGATGCTTAAATTTCTAAAGTTCACAAATTGGCCAGTCATCTTCCAGGTAGCTTTTCTGGATTCTCCCAGTGCAAACACAACAACACATGAGTCATTTTATTTGAATCCATCCATCTATTTTCTGGAGTTGGCTGTAACAGGACTGGGATGGGCTCCAGCTTATGTGTTTGGCCTGTGACATATAGGTGACTATGTTTGTATAAATTTAGCTTAAAATATTTCACAACAAAAGGATTGAAAAATATGTGAAAGGTCATAAGGACAAACTAAAAGATGTTTAAAGATACAAATGTCATATAAGAGGATAAAGAAAACTACAGAGCCTCGCTTTCCCTTTTTGCCCCCTTATATGGATGTGAGTAGCTTTGTGGCAGCAGTTTTGCATTGTTACTGTCACGTATTTATCAGCTGTGTAATTAATGACCCTGTGATCTTTGGTCTACAACCACAAGAGTATTGAGAGGGTGCAAGCTATGTGCACAGCTCTTTGTGACTGCCTTACTGCTGCTTAGTTATTTTTGAAAGGATCCAGAGGAGCATTTACTGCTCTCACATTGTGATGTAGTGCTGTTGTACTGTAACACCATTATGATCCGGGTAATGTAAAAACATAAAGAATTAAGCTCTTGTCTTATATGTAAGAAAACCATGCCACAGGTAAATGTAAATGCTCTCATCACAAGTAGCTGCTTATACTACAGCTACTGTTCG